TGTGTGCGTGTGGCAAGTAACTCGGCAATCCAAATTATGGTAATTTGGCAAGCTCCACTGCGTTGTCTTTGAGGGTGCACTTAATCTACTTTATGGCCCGGTGCCGCGGGGGCAGCAGTCAAGGGGGTAAAGGCAAGTTACTTAGTCGCGATTCCTAGTTTGATTGTCACAACTTCACTCGAACTCTTTACGAGCTACAGTCAAACTGTATTTTAATCACAGCCTGCTGCAAGCCTCTGAATTGGTTGCACGCAACAAATCTGTTCACTCAGCAACCCCATCAGGCGAGGGCAGCTGCAACACAGAATCAAACTGCAATTGAGTCGCCTGACCTGACTGCCTGCCTGTAACTGATGCGGCAAGCGCTTGCAAAGTCGATTGCAGCAACCGAAATGCATTTAGCATCCACTCAACGTATCACGTATACGCCGCATGTGGCAGAGCTGCCACACATGTCCATACAGAAGTACACACATTACTGGTATAAACTGAAACAAAAGCAACGGAAAGCCGAATGGAAAATGGCAAATGGCAAGTAGCAAATGGGAAAATCGAGTGCAACAAGGCAGCAACAAAAGCCAAAAATGGCATATCCATATGGGGTGCAACATGTATTTTTGAGTGGTGCATTGAGAAGCCTCTCACCATGGTCTCAATGCCACACAGCAGCAGAAGCAGCAGCAGGAGCAGTAACTAGCAAAAACAAAAATACAACCGAGTGGGGCATGATTGACGTGACAATCCGCCACGCACGCACACACCCAGAGAACACTCCCAGCACACACACACAGACCAAGGCAGAAGCTGGAAAATGAAAAACGAAATTGTTAAATAAATATTCATGCACTGCAGTCGAATGGGACACTCTTTTTTGCTCCTTACTTTTCAATACCCTTGCAGAGGGGTATTGTCATTATGGGTGTTCCCCGCACGGACTCATTGCTTACAAGGAAATATTTCTGACCCTCGGAGGTAAAAGCTTTTCTTGTCTCTAGTTTGTGGATGGAGTCAATTGTCACTTTCCTTTTAGGAAACATAATTAACATTAATTAATTCATTTTAGGGCATTAATGCTGAACCAGCTATATAAAAATCATTTAAATAAATAAATAAAAATAAAATTAATAATAATTACTCATTTGTAGCGAAATTTAAAAATATTTATTATGAAAAAATGTAATACATTTATATTCAGGTCATAATTTAAATGAGAAATTTGTATATTTTTTACAATTTCCACTCTCGAAATCTATTGGTATACAATTTTATTTATTTATTCTTGATCGAATACGTGGACAATTTCCTCAAAGATTACCATCGAACTAGTACTTGTTTCATAGAAACCATCGCTCTGCAAGGGTATTCGAGCCTCCTTTTTGTCGGATGTTGCCTTACATTTTGATTATTGAAATTGTACTTTTTTGTGACTTTTTGTTTGTTGTCCAACTCGTTTCGATTGTCGTGTTTGCATTGAAATTTCAGCAGCCCGTGCCACGCCCGGCCATGGAAACCGGTAATTGAATTAAACGCCCGCTGACATACACGCATTGGCAGAAGGACTGGCAATGAATTAGCCAAATAAATATGTAGGGCTTTAAGGCCCGGCCGAACGGCATTAAAAAAGCCAGAGAGATCCCTTGGTATGGCGGAGGCTTACGGGGAAGCTGGCACGGGGCCATTTTCCTTTTGTCCCTTTGTGGGTGTGTCGTGAGGATGATGACGGTGACTGATAAGCAAAAAGGGTCACAATTAGTAGGTGTCCTGCTGGCTGTGGAGCCGAGCCGGTTAATATCGAACTGGTGCGCTTTGAAATTGGAGCACGTCCCGGGCCAAATAATCTGGGCAGCAGGCTATTAAATTTCATGGGGCGAACGGCTAGCAGCAATCGGCAATTGGCATTCTCGTAGCTCGGATTGGTTTCTCACAAAAGTTTTCCCCATTCGATACGCATGAAAATCAAACTACAATTAGACGCAGAGTCCAAAGACGAAAATCTGATTCCAAGCTAAAGTCAAAGGCCAGAGCCAGAGTCGGAGTCGGAAAGTCACAGAGTCGTTGCCTGGGGGCTGCTGCCTGTCCATTGAGGCATTAAATGTCACACAGATACACACTCACAGGCAGGCATAAAGGCTGGAAAGAGGGCGGTAGAGAGGGGTTCAGGCTATCCATTTGTTTTTATGCTTATGCAGCAGAACAGAACTATTCTCGGGGAATGCTTGTTGGCAGTGACGCATCGAATTATCTGCGATCCGGGGCTTAACTAGCAGCAGGATAAATATCCTGCAGCTTCCGACCGGGCCCAAAGGACAGTAGTTCCATCAAACTGTTGGCGGCAGGCGGCGTCAATTTGTTTAATATTTAATGCACAACAGACCAAAGAACCAAAGTCTCAAACCAGGTCCTGGCCGAGGGCACACAATTTTATAAAATATCGTCCGGGGTCGGTGGTGAACAAGTTTGTGGGCTTTTCCTTTTCTTGGGCCTTTTTGTGTGATTTATTTAGTTAAGCTGTCCCAAATCCAAGCAGTGCACAAATCCGGCACACAAATTATGGAAGCCAGGCCCGGCACCGGGCTTCAACTATTTTAGCTTCATTTCGAATGGAGATGGCGGAGTCGTCGTCTGCCTGTCTGCCTGCCTCCTGCCAGCCTTTCTGATTGTATTGAATGAGACGCACGAGCGAACAGGAACCATGACTAGGCCCAGGACCCGTGCTCGACCTAGGTGATAGCCGCTTGACACATGGGGGTTCCGAGACCTTTGCCAAAGTGTTAAATTGGTCAGCACTCCAGCGAAAGACCTAAGGAATATTTACGAGTACTATGTGCCCATGGCAACTCCTGTGGGCCCATCAATTTCACAGCCACTCGAATGCCTTAAAAAGGCAGCTGGAGAAAGAGATGTTGCCGAGACAGCCGCTGAAGCTGAAGCTGGATCGTTTCATGGCAAATGAGTTAATTAGATGATTTAGTTGGCGCGTTTTTGTCGCCACCAAGGCACATTAATTGTAAACCCCAGGCAGAGTGTATTTTCTTCTCCCTTGAATTTCACATGCACATATTTACACACCCATTTAATCAGGAAAGCCGAAACCCGAGATGTGTCCTGGGGGGACGCTCACTGATTGCTGCTTTCATGTCCTCCCAACTGCTTGTGCTCGTTAAAAGCCACATTCAAACGTTTTCCAAAACGCGTATTTGGGAAATCTTTTGCGCGAGTTCATTAATCGCAGCGATTCTGTGGCCACGCCACACATCCTCCTCGGGGAGCCGACACTGGCTTGGGACACTGCCAGCTGTCTAAGTGGTTGGTTGGTAGTTGCAGATGTTGCGCCTGCCGCATAAATCGGAAAGCGGAAGCGAGGGAACGCATAAGGACAGTGTCTGCCAAGTGGGCCACACTTGCGTTGCATTGACCATGACCGTGAACTTTGATGGGGCCCTCCTAATGATGCCAGACAATCGTCTCGAAATGAGCTCACACCGGGACCCTGCCACATACATACCACACCCCCATCCTTGCATTTCCCCTCTGCCTTGTCCACTTGAGCCAATGCTTTTGACATTGCCCATCAGCCCTCAGTGGGTAGCTAGCCTTGTTCTAAGCCCACTGTGATGCAGTCTGCCGTCGAGATAAAGATGAAAATCTTTTGCGCAGTGGGCGGTCAATTGTCCTAGATGGGGCGGCGGCCACTTCTCTCTCTCCCTTCTGATACCCCCCCGCATAAGCTGCTTAAATTGCAACAGGCTTGAACTTGGGGAGGGGGAAATCACTCGAGTTTCGCTTTGATTACCGAAACCAAACGAGAAAACCCAACAATACAGCTAAAATACAAAAAAAAACACAAAAAAAACCCGAAAAGATTCCAACAATTGGCCAAAAGTTTGGAAAAGCGAAAAGTTTTGTTTGTCGGCCCCGTCACTGGGTGTGCTTTACACCAGCCAACCGCCGACGTCAACCAAATTTTTAACTTAATTTAGAACTCATTAAAAACTTTGGCATAATTGCATAAATTTGCAAAGTCAATGGAAACTTGTCCAGCCAAAGGAAGGAGCTACAGCTGAAACTGGTCCGCCACTCTGGACTGGACATGAGAAGGTGCGACCTCAAGGGGGCGACCAACGGAGTATGCCTTTTAGATAAATGATATGACTAACTAGGAGGGAGATGACGGAGCTGTTTGTAAGGTTGTTCAATCTATTTGTTATTTTTGCTTTATTTAATTATTTATTTTTATTCGCTTCTTGTGATATACTCGTCTTAAAAGTCCATGCTAGCTTCTCCTTCCCCTTTATCAAGTAATCAAAAGCCCCCTTGGGTTTGTTGTATCTCAAACCACTGTAAAGACAAACTTTCGATAAGTCAAATAAATAAGGCCATGTGTGCAAAAGAGACCACAGGAATAACATTAATGCGGGAGCTTTCCACCTCTGTTAACATAAAAGAATGTTAAAGCTCCGGTTTTATAACGATTAAAAGTTTGCAAAGCTTTGCTTTAATTGAAATAAAAGTTGAAAAGATTAAAACTGCAAAATATAAAAGAGCAAAGGCAAAAAAAAGGGTTCGAACAACAAAAGGTAAGCTTTATGAATGATTGGCAAAGTGCACGGGTGTTCAAGGGTTTAAAGGGTTTTTCTCCCTCTAGAAATACCCTTAAGCCAAATGAAAATCAATTTCAACGAATTTTCTTTAACATGATTTTGGTGTGTAATTTATTCATCATTTAAATGTTCTATAATTTATACATATACACGAACTATTTACTTTCTTTAAATATATATATTAGTTCAACATTTATTGTTTCTGCTTGTGTTCATGATTATTAAAGGTTGTCGTTGCTAAAAAGATTAGATTTGAGCCACATCATTGAATAATGTTGCGACCCCTGGCAGCAACAATCAAATATATGTATGTATGAATCCATATGCAACTTGATGTGATATTCATTAATTTAGAGACAAAGAAACAAACAATTACTAATAGTTTCTTTGTAGTTTTTCCTTTTATAGATTTTCATTTTAAAATATTTGCTGCATTAAAGCATTGTGTTTTGCACTTATATTCCATTGTTTAGTTGAGTTGCTGTACAAATTGTTCACATGGTTCGGTGCAGGGTGCAGGGTGCTGTGTACAGCTAACCCCCTGGGACGGGCGAAGGGGGGGCCGCTACGAAAGGAAGGAGGGGTTGGTTTTCATTTTTAATACTTGTGCGAACTGGTGAACCGTTGGTGTCTAACGCAGGAACAAAAGACAATGAATGGGGGCAGGTCAGATCAGAGGGATCAAACGAAGGTAACACACAGAGGCAATAATTTGTTAATTTTGTGTTTTTGGAATGCTACGATTCTTTATGTGAAAGTAGTAAGAGAAATTATATAAACGATTCAAAGAGCACACACTTAAAACCTAACAAAAAACAGTAAACTTTAACAAATGATCGACTGACTGACTGACTGAGATTGGCAACGAATTACAGGACAGTGTGTTGGTATTTTATATAGTAAGATTTTGTGGTTAGGCGGCAATTCAATTTATATACATTTCAAGGGATCTCGTTTCCGACATGCTTTCGATGCTGCTAAAAAACACACATATTACGCGGTAGATTGCTCGTTTGGATAGTATTTAACTAGTTATTGTTAGTGTTATTGGTTTTGGCTACGCTTCGGCTCCTCTGTGTACACACAAATCAGGAAGGATTCAACGTAGATAGATATTATGTATGTATTGTGGATTTATGTATATATAGACGCATACACAGCGGGGATATTGCAGGAGGTGGGGACGCGCCGCACGATGCGCCGCCGCCAGCTTAAATTATGAATGAAACAAAATTTTGGACAAAAATCAAAAACAAAACAATAAACAGAGTCTAATGGCGCGAGTCCCTAGGATAGAATTCAGCCAAGATTGAGGCTGGGATACGCTTGAGCATCTCCTTGGGGAAGATACGCAGCAACTGCCAGCCAATGTCCAACGATTCGAAGACAGTGCGGTTCTCGTAGTTGCCCTGCGGAAAACAAAAATAATCCACATTTGAATGCCCATCAAATAGCAGGAGATCTGTTTGAGCGACTCACCTGCGAGATGAAGTTCTTCTCGAACTTGGTCAAGAACTCCAAATACAGCAAATCGTCGGGCGTCAGCGCCTCCTCACCCACGACAGCCTTCATGGCCTGCACATCCTTGCCGATGGCGTAGCAAGCGTACAGCTGGTTGGACACATCGGAGTGATCCTTGCGGGTCATGCCCTCGCCAATGGCGGACTTCATCAGACGTGACAGGGATGGCAGCACGTTGACTGGAGGATAGATCTGTCTGTTGTGCAGCTGACGATCGACGTAGATCTGGCCCTCGGTAATGTAACCAGTCAAATCGGGAATTGGATGGGTAATATCGTCGTTGGGCATAGTCAGAATGGGGATCTGGGTGATGGAGCCGTTGCGACCCTCCACACGACCGGCACGCTCGTAGATGGTGGCCAAATCGGTGTACATGTAACCGGGGAAACCACGACGGCCGGGCACCTCCTCACGGGCGGCGGACACCTCACGCAGGGCCTCGGCGTACGAGGACATGTCGGTCAGGATGACCAGCACGTGCTTCTCGCACTGGTATGCCAAGAACTCGGCGGCAGTCAGGGCCAGACGGGGCGTGATGATGCGCTCAATGGTTGGATCGTTGGCCAAGTTCAAGAACAGGCACACGTTCTCCATGGAGCCGTTCTCCTCGAAGTCCTGCTTGAAGAAACGGGCCGTCTCCATGTTGACACCCATGGCAGCGAACACAATGGCAAAGTTGTCGGTGTGATCATCCAGCACCGACTTGCCTGGCAGCTTGACGAGACCGGCCTGACGACAGATCTGGGCGGCAATTTCGTTGTGGGGCAGACCGGCAGCCGAGAAAATGGGGATCTTCTGGCCACGGGCAATCGAGTTCATCACATCGATGGCGGAGATGCCAGTCTGGATCATTTCCTCGGGATAGATACGAGACCAGGGATTGATGGGCTGGCCCTGGATGTCCAGGAAGTCCTCGGCCAGGATTGGGGGTCCCTTGTCGATGGGCTTGCCGGAGCCGTTGAACACGCGGCCCAACATGTCCTCCGACACGGGGGTGCGCAGAATGTCGCCGGTGAACTCGCAGAGGGTGTTCTTCGCGTCGATGCCCGAGGTGCCCTCGAACACTTGCACCACGGCCTTGGAGCCGCTCACCTCCAACACCTGTCCGGAACGGATGGTGCCATCGGCCAGGCGCAGCTGCACGATCTCGGCGAACTTGGGGAACTTGACCTCATCGAGGATGACCAAGGGACCGTTCACACCAGACACCGTCTTGTAGGCTGTTGTCGGAAAATAGTGGAGAAAACATACAAGAGGTTAGCAAAATTCCTTCCTTTGCAATTTCCCATTTCCAATCAGATTTCTCTATTTTATCATTGCAACAAAAAACACGAGTCCAGGCCGCCTGCTCACATGAACCCCTATGAGAATCTGATAAGAAGGCAACTGTCAAAAGAAAAGTATGGGTGGGAGGGGTGTGGAGTAACTTATGTCAGCTGACTGCCCAACTGGTTTTGGCCGCGGGCCACGAGCTGCAGTGGGAATTCTTATGAGACACGCAAAATGCAAGCGCAGATAAAACAATCAGTTCGTAAAGAAAAACCCAGATAATTAATTAAATTATTTACCAAATAAACTTTCAAGAAAATTAATATGGAAAGCAATTACAAGAATTGATTACATCCACAAGTTTAACTACTTTTTACTTCGCCCTCCTCCCACTCCATTCGCAGTCAGGTGCCTCTGGTTGTGCGCTTTGAATGGCAAGTGCAAACAGCTGATCTACAATAGTCATGTGACGGCGAAAATTTTCAATAAAAATTTACTTTTCACCCTGGACGGAGCCCCAAATTCATGTTTGTCCAGCTACGATGGACCAATTAGACATTTTCCTGTCATTGGCTGCTTTATAGAGCAATTGTTAGCCCAATTGGTGGGTGGGATAGGGTTTTATTGATTTTTTTCTTGATCTGCTTCGCACCAGATTCGTACAAACTGTCATGGCGGCCCGAGAGTATTTTTGCCAGCAGCAAACTATATTTTTGAATGCATTTGTACACTTTCTAATTAATGGAAATACTCACTCAAACGGGGCTGGGAGATGAAGTCCCGGGATACGGCCAGGACATGTTCCTTGTGTGCTTGTTGGGCGTTCATTTTGCACAATGAATTTTCTTTCTACACCGATTCGCCTCTACCTTGAAAGTGCACAGAAAATTTCGAGCTGCAATGAAAATATTAAACTTTAGCTCGACTGTATTGCACTTGCTTAGTGTTATTTAAGAGACAGTTTGCGTTGAGGAACACATACAATTTTTCGAATAATACTGAGCGACACAAACGCACAATTTTGAGCCTGCGAAGTGGTTGCGAGTACGAAGAAAAATCACTCTGGAATTGCTAGTCTGTGTAAATTTGTTGTGACGTCACGTGCCATCACATGACTCTAGGGTTGTGAAAGGTACAACGATATATCGACACATATATCGGTATTTTTGTGCGATAAGTGGAACCAGAACCAAGTTCCAGAACAATGAACGTCCGTCAGTATATTTACGGTATTTTAAGAAAAAGAAAATGTATATTTGGGTATATTTTTGAGGCTCAGACGGTATATTTTGTCGATAAATCCGCAGTCACACTACTATTGGAAAGTTTTTTTAATGGTTTAATTAAATTATTATAGTTGTTTATTTGGTGGACTGCACACACACAAAAGCGGTTGTAAGCGCATGCAGTGTCGCAGCGAACACCGAACTGAGCCGGAAAGCAGCAGAAATCTCTGAATTTTCTCGAAACCCAATCCGCCCGCATACCGTGGCAACAAAAACAACTGCAGCACACAAAGAGAAGACAGCACACAAGTCCACGCATCGCACTACGACCATCGCAAAACCCGTTTCCCGCGCGCCTCTTTATTCGATTTGCATTGCAACCCCCCGCCCCCGCGGATTCTGCTGCGGCGGAATTTGGTGCCACATTAAGGGGCGTCTATAACTTCAACCCAACTCGCAAGTGAACTGCATTATGATGGTGGAGTCCGACGGTACTGCCGATGCCACCCGCCGCCTCAACGTGAAGAAACAAACGCTGGACGATGCGTACGCGGTGCCCGCCAACTTCCTCGAAATCGATGTGGTCAATCCTCTGACCACCATGGCGGCGGGCAAAAAGCGCTATACGGACTACGAAGTTCGCATGCGGGTGAGTAAAGAGCGAGGGGCGGTGCCGATCCCATTGTCGCTGAGTTCGCAAAAATTGCCCAAAACAGTTGATAACTGTTCCATGTATGCATGTGTGTGTGTAAGAGAGCGAGGGACTGTGATTGTGTGTGGGGCTGTGGGGCTGTGTGTCCGGGTGATACGCCTATAAAGCGGAGCGATAATTATTAGTCATAAATGCAGTACGCTGGCACCGATCCGGGCCCTGAGTCATGTGGGGGATGGGGGTTGGATTATGTTTCCTCTGAATGAACTGTCAATGCGGGTGCTCTGCCCTCGAGGAACTTTTCATTAATCTCAGTTTTTCATCTCTGTTTCCCCGCCCTCTTTCAGACAAACTTGCCGGTCTTCAAGGTGAAGGAATCGAGCGTGAGACGGCGTTACAGCGACTTTGAGTGGCTGAGAAACGAGCTGGAACGGGACAGCAAGGTAAGCAAATCGGGGAATCTATTAATGGAAATCTTGATAATACCTCGAATCTCTCCTATTCTTCAGATTGTGGTGCCGCCGCTGCCGGGCAAGGCCTGGAAGCGGCAGATGCCGTTCCGCGGTGATGAGGGCATCTTCGACGAGAGCTTCATCGAGGAGCGTCGCAAGGGCCTGGAGGCGTTCATCAACAAGATAGCCGGTCATCCGCTGGCGCAGAACGAGCGGTGTCTGCACATTTTCCTCCAGGAGAACCTAATCGACAAGAACTATGTGCCGGGCAAGATACGGAACACATAAGGAGACGACGACACCAGCAACAACAACAAAAACAGAATCAACAGCAATGCAATGAATGAAGCAAACAACTCGAACGAACAAAACCGTTACGAACTCTATTAGGGAGTAGACCCGATCCGTGTGTATGTGTATGTGTGTGTGCATGTGTGCTTAGCAAGATTAAGAAGGAACGAAGAACTGGAAGGAAGGAAGGAAGGAGATGGGCGAGAGAAGGAGCGTAGAAGTAGAAGTAAAGGAATCTGTTTATTATTCGGCGCAAGCGGAAGTGAGTGGAAGCGGAAGTGTAAGTGGACGTTACGTCGCTGCTGCTGATGCTGATGCTGCTGCTGCTGCTCAGTTAATGTTGAAGCATTGGGAGTTTTTAAATGCTAAATTCAAGTTTATATGGTATACATACATTATATACAATATATATTATACATACAATACATATATTTACATAATAGTGTACATAATACATACATACCTACCACGCCCACTCGATGATTGACGACTCCTCTCTAACGCCCCCCAAGTCCCGTTGCCAAAAGTCTTGGCAGCTCCATTCCCCCCGCCATTAAAGCGGGACCCCGTCAGTGTAGTTGTGCGAAATTTTAAAAACTATTTGTTTTATGCGTCAAATTGCAGCAGTAAGAAAGCAGCAAAAGTTATATATCCTCCCTCGCCCCACAGCAAATGGAAACCGTCAAACTATATGAAAACTATGGAATATTTTGAATCAATTTAGTGAATAATATTGTACTTCGAATCAAATTAAAATAATTAAAACAAACAAAACACATCCATATGTATTTAATCATTTTGATAACGATTTTTTAAATCGGAAACTGTTGCAATTGCCGGCAAGGCGCGGCGCGTCATTGTGCGCAGGGCTGCACAATCGAATCCAGGCAGGCTGTGCGAGTGAGACAGCTCTACGGGTGCTGCTCATAATCTGCTTGCCCAGCCCTGGCGACTCGTGTGTGTTTTTTGTTTTTTATTTGTTTTTGGCATGGACTCGGCGGATTCTCCCACAAAAACGCAATCCAGCGACGATGAAAACTACAGCCTACTGTGCCAAGCCCACGAACAATTCAACAAGTAAGCGACCCACATGAATTCCACAGCAACAGACCCGGCAAAACCCGACCTGTTCCACACCCTTTGCAGCACCGAGTACGACCGCTGCCTGGAGCTCCTACAGCAACTCGACACGAAGGGCGAGAGCAGCGGGCCCATCCTGCGTCACAATCGGGCCGTCGTGAACTTCTACAAGAGCGGGTGCATCCAGCACGCGGCGTTGCTGCAGGAGCTGGAGGAACTGGCCACCGACGTGAAGGCACCCCAGGGTATGGGCGAGGCCGGTGGTGGCCTGACCCTGAAGCAGGGCGCCAGCGCAGCTACGGTGGCCAGGTACAACAAGGCGGTCATCTATTACCACCGACAGATGTACGGCACGGCGCTGGAGAAGCTGGCCCCGCTGGTGACCAGACTGGAGGCCCTGGAGAAGGGCATGTCTGCGCTGGTGGCCACGCTTCAGCTGCAGCTGCTCCTGGCCACCAACCAGCTGAACCGCGCCGAGGCCTTTCTGGACTACTTGCAGTACACGCTGAACCTGGTGGAGAAGGCGCCGAGCAGCAATCCCGATGAGGCCGTGCTGGCGACAGCCACAACCGCCGCGGCCACGCCCAGCACAGTGGTGGCTACCCAGGGCTCGGATGCAACTGTGGCACGCGCAGCTGGGGACAGTAGTGGCAGCCTTCAGCTGTTGCAGCTCCTGACGCATGTACTCAATCGGAAGCCGGTGGTCATAACGGAGGACGGGACGCCGCACTATGCGGCGCTCAAGGCGCAGCAGTACTACATCATGAAGGACTTCCAGATGGCCGCCAAGCAGCTGATGCGCATCAACAACGAGTGCACCCAGGCAGGGTAAATCCTTGAAAGTGAATCCCATCCTCCAGAGCTATAGCTAGCAGCTTCGTCTTTTCTCTTGCAGCACGGTAACGCCCCAGCTGAGCACCTGCATTGCCAACAATATGGGCGTCATCCATCTGAGAGTGCGTCACTATGCCATAGCGGCGAAGTTCTTTCAAAATGCCCTGAACTTCGATAAGCAGCTGGCCTCGAACCTGAGGGAGAGCACGCTCCAGACGATGAGCTCGGCGCACTCGTGCGAGATCCTGTACAACCTTGGCATCGCCATGCTGCATCTGCGCCGTCCGAAGGAGGCCTTTCAGTGCCTCCTCGTGCCCGTCAAGCAGTTCCACAGCAATCCGCGACTCTGGTTGCGCATGGCCGAGGCCTGCATCATGGAGCACGAGGCAGTAAGTTCCGGATAACCAATCCAAAAGCATGGAGATCATTTATTTAACTTTTGCAGAACCTGGCAGAGGACGAACGTCAGTCGTTAGCTGGAGCTGCATCCCCGCCTTCATCCACGTCATATGCGTAAGTGCTGGACTGACCCCAGTTGCATGTTGATTCATTTTGTCCACTGTCCCACAGACCGCAATCAGCCGGCGTGCCGGAGCCAACCCTGGAGTTTGCTGCTCTGTGCCTGCGCAGTGCTCTTACCCTGACGCTGCATCACAAGGCCAGATTCCATATGGAGGAGGAGACCCCTGAGCAGAGGGACCCCACGCAGCAGTCGTGGCGCCAACTGCAGGACAATAATTTTTGCACCCCTTCGAAACCGATCAGCCTGGAATCGCTCGAGAACATGCTGGCCGCCATCTATGCGGCGCACAGTTTCGTCTCGCTGCGCCTGGGCGATCATGTGACGGCCCTGGAAATGGCCGAGCACCTTCTGAGCGGCGAACGTCTGTCGGATGCACACAAGTAACCACATTCCTCCTCGATTATTGTCTGACAGGTTACTAAGCCTCTGGCTGTATCCACAGATTGTTGGGCCATATGTACGCAGGCGAGGCGCTGACACTGATGGACAAAGCCGCGGAGGCGCGCGACCATCTGGACCCGACATTCGTCAGCTCTCTGGATGCCTTCGACCTGGAGACACGCGACTGGCAGCTAAAGTCGCTGGACGCTGCCCAGAATGTGGTGCGATACAACCTGGCCGTGGCCATGACCCTACAGAACGACTACCAGCAGGCGAAAACCTTCCTGGCCACACTCACCCACTCGATTGTGAGCATCAAGGCGTTGGCACTGCGTCGCTATATAGACCTCAAGATGGGAGCGTCCAATGCCAACGCCGTTTCCGCCGCAGCTCTCAGTTAGACATACAAAAGATTGTGTAAATACTAGACGGAATCGAAATATGAATGGAGTGCAGATTGCGAACAGATTGTAAATATAGAGAAATCAAGTCCCTGACAGACATGGCCGCACAGTTTGCACTCGCACCTTCCAGCTTGCATTACTAAAACGTTTTCAGCTCTTCTCTGCTCGTGAAGAAATTTGTTAGGCAAACCATGGAAAATCGTTTAATATCTCCTCCTCCTATGTAACCCCAAGAGATTTAAGCAGTTTGCGATGATTAGTCGGGTGGTTCTGTTACTGTTGTTGGCTGCCGGCAGTCTGGTGGACTTTGCCAAATCGAATTCTGTGAGTGCCACAAACTAGTCCAGCTAAGAAGAATCCCAAGTCCTATGACAAAGCTTTATCCCCTCCCCAGCTGAATCTCGTTGTCAGGCACAACTATCCGGTGGAGCAGCACAAGCTGACGACGAGCGATGGCTACATTCTCACCATATTTCGAATTCCATATTCGTTGAGTGATGGCGAGACGCAAGGCCAGGGCAAGCCGGTTGTCTTTCTGCAGCACGGTATCACAGGGTCCTCTGACGACTGGCTGCTCAATGGCCCCAAGAGTGGGCTGGCATATCTGCTGGCCGATGCGGGCTTTGACGTGTGGCTGGGCAACTCTCGGGGCAATTCCAACGGACGCGAGAACCAGAAACTGAAGCCCAGCAACGAAAAGTTCTGGAAGTTCAGCTGGCACGAGATCGGTGCCTACGATCTGCCAGCCCAGATCGATTATGTGCTCCGGATCACGAATCAAGCGGCGCTGCATTTTATTGGTCACTCCCAGGGCGGTACCGCCTACCTGGTGATGCTCGCGGAGCATCCGGAGTACAACGAAAAGATATCTACGACAAATCTGCTGGCACCTCTGGCCTTCTGCAGTAACATGGAGTCCAAACTAATGACGCTGGTACTGAAGGTGAACGAGTACATGGTCGACGGGGAATATAGCCAAAGTAGCCTGACGAATCACCCGTTATCCAACGTATTCTGTTCCACCCTTATTGGGAAGCATCTCTGTCACGACATGTTGTTCACGCTCATTGGTGGCAACTCGCCGCACATTAACAAGGTAAGGTGTAAGGTGCGACCGGTGCTGCCGATAGCCGCGGATAATCTACCATCATATACCACCGCAGACACTCGTACCACAGCTGGAAAAGACTACGTCATCGGGCTTCTCCAACATGCTGCTGAAGCACTACGCGCAGGTGTTTAAAACGGGAAGATTTGCCAAGTATGACTATGGGAATGCCACCAATCTCGAGGTTTACGGCACAAGCAAGCCGCCACTCTACGATCTGAGCAACGTTGCTCCGACAGACATGGTGCACATGTTCTACAGCGACAACGATCAGTTGCTGTCGGTTGAGGATGCGGAGCGTCTTGGCCAGCGGATTAATGCCATTCAGAATCACGTGGAGGTGAAGAACTGGAACCATTTGGATTATGTTTACGCCACAGACGTAGTGCAGGTCATCTACGAACAGCTTATTCAATCGATCCGTGACTACAAGCCGAATCTCATCTGATTTGAATGCTATTTCAATATATTTATGTATGCCAGAAAAGTCATATTGATCTCTGAATGCTCTATCGGCTTTACAAGGTCTCGAATTAGATTGGCACAAGGTATGTTAAGGTGTCTAATTCCTGCCCTATTGAGGGGACAAAAGGTTGTTGCATGGCTGCATAGTCGCTTTGTTTCCATTCCAAAATGCCTGAACCAAAGCCCACAGTCCTTTTTATTCAACGGTTTATCGGAGCAAACGGAGGTCTGCCAATCCTCCTGCGCGACGAGAAGTTCAAAGTGTCGGAAAGTCACAAAATGCACATGCCAAGACATTTAAGGAAGTATTGGCAAGGAAACAGGTGTAAAAAATTAAGTAATATTTATGACGTCATAACGTAACGTCATAACGTTTCTGGAACCCAAAACAAGTCACAGTTTTATATCCATATTACATATTTGATAGCTCCAAACTTCCGCACGATTAACATTAATCTAATGTCTAAAATCTCGAAAATCTAGTGCGAGCGACTGATTAAAGAAGTTTTAACGAGCTGCATTGTCTCCAAATAATTTATATCATTACCCCCATATATATTTGGTGAATAATTAATTTATTTTTCTTAGTATCTTTTTAGATACCATTTGAACAAAATGGAGCGTATAAAAAGAAAAGAATTCATAGATATAATAAGATGTAATTTGATATAAGGTCTCCCTCATTCAAACGTTGATCTTGGTTAGAACCTTTTAAATTCATAATGCACCCTTCAGACGAAATCTATTGCGACCGACCTCAATAAAACTACATATATTAATGTAATAAATATATTAATGTAGGTACATATATTCATGATCTTTTAATGCCATCAAGTCTAATTTCGTCATTGCTATTTCTTTTCCCGACAAATTGTATGCAAAATGCTCAGAAAATAATGAATCCAATCATCATTTTCAGCACGCAAGACGCTAGAAAGGTAAGGAAACTCTGCGGGTAACCCAAGGCGTAACAAGTAACGTCGCCTCCTTCCAATTAATCCACTGAGGTCCGGCTTGCCTGGCCGTTGGCCGTTGGCCTTTGCCACCCTGGCACCCAGTAATGGCCATTTTGCATGCGTGCCCGGGTGCTACCCCCAGTTAGTGCAGGAAGCCATGGGTTTGGGGTTGGGTAGCTATAGCAACTTTGGCAAACAATGAGGGATACGCGGGCCCACTCCCGACCACACAGTCGACTTGTTTACTTGCCTACCTCCTTGGCTGCGGTTCTGTGGCTGCAACTGCAATCGATGTGTGGCAGAGGGTTTAGTTCCCATTCGAATTTTGGAGCTTTGGCATCGTAGGCAGTGTAGGTACCGCGAAAACCTACATAGATCATGTGCTTCCTTTCGGTCGTGCTGGTGGTCTGTCTGTCCATCCTTATGGACTTTCGACACTGCTCTCTGGCGGGCATAATGCCGCCGCCATCGTCGCCAGCGCAGTTGCCCACGCCCCACACATTCCGGTTCCAGAAACCGCTGCAGTGCCTCAAGAACGAGTTCTACAACCTCAACCTCTTTGACTGTGTGCCGTGCAACGAGGCGGGGGAGCCAGGAAAACTGCAGCCCGACAGTGAGTATTGTGACTATTGATCAAACAGAACGGAACCCCTCATGGTGTCTGAGTATGTGGGGTTGAATTGGTGTCAAGCACCCAACCCCAACTCTGCCTGTAGTTTGAATAATTCATTCTTTGTCCCCTCAGAGTTCGCCTGCAAGTGCCCTGCAGGACATATAGCCATCTATGAGCGCGGCAAGACCTGGCCCATCTGCGACGAGATATGCTCCACATCGCCGGATCGCACCGAGAACTGCACATCGGTGTGGCTGCCCCAGCCTAAGCCTGGCTCGCACTGCAGCATGCAGTACCTCAATTCGACGTCGGTCTTTGCCAGCCAACTGCCAGTTCATCCGCTGATCTCTGGCATCATTTTGACCAAAACGAATCCGGCTAGCAACAGCAGCGACTGCCAGAGCTGCGATCAGACATACAATTTCCGATATCAGGACTACTGTCTGGCCGATGGCCTGCTGCGCCCCTACCTCCACTACAATGCCTTCTGGCAGGCCACAACCAGCCCGAGGCAGAGTTCGAGTGGAGCCACCGCCACCCACTTCGGAGAGCTGAAGTTCGTGGCCTTCTTCTGCCTGACCCTGAGGAACGACACTGCCTGCCAGCAGTTGGCCAATCTGTGCGTGCTCTCGCACTACTCCCTCGAAAAACACTCGCCGTGCAGCGCCTTTCTGCTCACGCAGGTGTCGGATGTCGTGATGAAGTATGCCCATTCCGGGGAGCAGGTTCGCTCGCTTCAGCCGTTTCTCTTCTACAAAAAGGGCAAGACCACCAAGGACCTGCTCTCGAAGACACTCCAGCTGGCGGACCGCAAGCAGCTGCAGCTTTTCAGCACCAGCTTTGGCCTGGAGGGCAGCCTGAAACGCTGGGGACCATTCACACTGGACATGGCTAATCTTTGCCAGCAGCCGGCTCCGTCTCTGCGACTTGGCCTTCCCCCAGACGAAGCGGAGGTGTCTTGTCAACTCTCTCTGGAGCGGATCATAGATTTGGCCAGCCAGCAGGCCAACGATAATTACCTCACGCTCTTCCTCAACTTCAGCAGCAACTGGCAGTTCCTGCTGCACCAGCTGCCCGTGCTCATCGAGACCCTGACGCCAGAGAACCAGGTGAGTGACCTTCGATCCATTATAAAGTGAATTCTATTCTCATGTTTCCCATGCAGCGGCCGCAGCAGGAGGAGTGGCAGCTGGTGAAACGATTCCAACTTATTGCCGCCTTGCCCAGGGACAGCCGCCATCATCAAACAGTGCCGCACTACGAGGATGGCCACAAGCTGCAGATGTATCGCTCGCTGCGCTACATCGAGGATCTGGAACTGCACTACACGCTGGACGAGAGCCACAGGGATCGTGTGGGACTGCCTCTGATCCGTCTCCGCTATCGCCACATTGAGTTGACGGGAAATGCCTCGCTCGCCCAGCCCTATCCATTCCGGCTGCGTGTTACCTACCAGAAAATGTCGCGAGGATGGGACTGGCTCATCCTGAAAGTGGCTCTGCCACTGCTTCCTTCTCGTGGCCTTCTCGGCGGCGGCCTTCCGCTTGCAGAACCTGCGACGCAGACGACACGCGGAGCTCTGTCAGACCAGCAGCCTGTTGGAATTTCTGCTCCAACTGGCGAGCAATGTGGCATACGCCCTTTTGGCCACAGCTCTGCTGCTCCTGGCCCTACACGCCTCCAGCCCCCACGTGCTCAGGCCTCTGATCTATTCCGCCTGTCTGCTGCAGCTGATTTTCCTGGGTGTGCACCTGTGGCGATCCAGCCAGCTGGAGCTCTTCCTCATCGACTGGGAGCGGCCGCGTAGCAGCTGCGAGGGCCAGCGTCTGAACCTGGACAGCTCCTCGCTCTGCTCCAGCGTGCGCACATACGTGGCCGAGAGCAGTGTGTCCGCCTGGCGCATTCTGTTTACGGCCAATGCTTGGATACGCCTCAGTGTGGCCCAGAAATACTCCACCCTGGGACAGGTTTTCATACTGGTGGCTGTGTACCAGCTCCTGGAGCGGTACACACATGGCGATGTGGGTCTGCGCTGCTGCCTAATCTCGGCCAGCTACATAGTCACCTATCTGCTACAAATAATGGGCCATCGTCTGCTTACCGCCAATCCCCTGCAGAAGTTTATTGATCTGTGCAGCTTGGCCAACATTTCGTTGTTCTCGCTGCTGGAGCCTGGCTTTGGTTACTACATCCATGGCAGATCGCCGCATGGCTTTGCGGACACGGACATGTCTTCCATGATACTGCAGCTGCAGAAGACACAGAACATGTCTGGGCGTCGTGGCCTGCTCATGGACTCGGACAAGCAGGCCTACATCATTCTGCCGCCAAGAAATTTGCAGTAGGTTGAGAGAGAAAGAACTTCTAAAGGATCTTATTAATTACATCTTTCTTTTGAAGCATCTACCTGGAGCGCCTGCTGCTGCCCTTTCAGCGGAGTGTCACTGGCAGCCTGTCACAGACGCTGCTCTACCAGAAGGACATAATTCCCAGCATCGATGGCCAGATAGAGCGCACATCCATAGCCTATGCGAGCGTGAATCGTTTCTTCTGCGCCTTCATTGATCATGTAAGCATCACTGCCACTCCATCCCATCCATGCTTAAAGATGCTCCATCTATCTTTGTTCTCTTCTGTTGCAGGCCATCAAGGACATGGACTACATTATCAAGGAGAAGTCGCTGGTGGAAAAGTTGTTCAACTGCGAAATCGACAACTACATTACGGAGAGTGGGTGGCCTTTCCCCCTTTTCTATCAAGCACATTTCTCAGATTTTCTTTTCGATTTCCCCCGTTGCAGACAAGGGAACCTTCTACATTGACGACTCGCAGAGCTTCGCTCGTGTCCTGCTGCTGGGCAACCATGTGAATATCTTTGTGCTAGAGATCCTGCTGCTGCTATCCATCTTCCTGCTGATTTCCAATCTGCTGATTGCCGGCGCTCTGGCTTGTGTCTTCAATATGGTATGATCAGCATTAAGCAGTTTGTTGTACTTAACTGATACGATAACTGGGTTTCGTTTTCAGCTGCTGCGACACATCTTTCGCGTTTGGGTGCGTCGCAATGTCTCACGCAAGACACTCATCGATGAGCGGTTCCTGTTGTAGCGCCAGTCGGAGGAGCAGCAACTGCATGAGGATGGATTCTTTGCCATTTAGAAACACCAGCCACATACATGTGTATGTTTTTTTTTCCATTTGTTTTTTTTTATTTTATAATCCACTCGATAGTAAGTAGTAGTACACATCCATATACAGTGATTAAACGTTAGTTATCGTTACCATAAAACTTATGTATCTAAAACAAATAAAATAATTTCCATAGTTTCTTTCACAATCAACATACAAACACATACATACGCCTATGCTACGCACAATCTCTACATATGTAGTATATACCTATCTTTTTGCTCGCTTTACATACTCGTAAGTATCATTATTAGTTGATTCATTTTTTTGTATGGATCTTTGTTATAGGATTTATAATTTCATTTCATTTCATTTATAACTGAAGGGTTTTGCCCACATGCTTATTTCATCTATGTGGCATCGATAGGAGTAGCAGCCACATCATCATACATATTTATCATTTAGTTTAAGTGTATGTATATCTTTCTGTTTTGTGTGTGTGTTTGTTTAAGAAAATATTGACCATAGGGTATTTTGAGGTGTCTGTTTTTAGTTTTAGTTTGAGTTTTCTTTCGATCCGCTTATATGTATGAATATATGAAAACTTGTCTCTGTTTTGGATCTGTTTTGTGATCAAAGGTTATATGTACATCACTGTCGAGAGGTATCATTTTGTGTATGCAGTGCATTGCGTAGTTGTGTCTCCGTCTATGATTGGCGGCCAGATCGATAGTTAAGAATTACTTTAATCATTTAATCGTACTTGCTAAAAACGTCAAACGTACAACATTCAAACATCTATGTATTTACTGTTGCTTATTCGGTAGTTAAGGGGTTTGATTTATTTGCAAAACTTGGCCAGAATGCAGCCAAACTTAATTACGAGTGTCTTCTTATACGGTATACAGAATGTATGATGTTCTTAGGGCTTGGGACATTAGATCCTACTGATGTATGTGGGGTTGTGTTATCGCGGTGTCAATGGTTATCATACACATATGTATATGTAGTATCAAATTCGAAATGATTTAGATGTGCTTTTTGTGAGGTTCTAACATAATTATAATGATGATAATAATTATAGTAAATAGTAATTTAATTGATTTTAGTAAATAATTTGTTAATTTGTTCATCTTATTGTTTTTTCGCTATCACAAAAGTAAATACAACTCCAACAGAGATAATAATGCAAAACGGGGTATTCGGGTCGTCTATCAAATCTATCAAATAAAGATGAAAGATGATGATTTCACTCTTACTTGGAATTCACTTAAACATTATATCTAGTTTTAATCTCTTACACATACATGGGTATACATATTTCAATCATCATTTCGTCTTTAAATTAAAGTTTTATGTATAATCAACACTTAGATTATAATTATTTATTTATTTATTTATGTACCTAATCATATCTCGTTTCAATTCTTCAATGGAGAGACAGGGTTTACATATATGTAGTACCATTGAACTTCAAAATAAAATCATATCAAATGACTTGGCGTCGGCTATTTACAGATGCAGTTAAACACTAGACATTAAAAGAGGGAATACCTATGTCGGTTTTGTTCGTTAGAGAGCTAGCTTAGGAGTGCCGTCGTCTTGTATCTCATGTTTCGGGGTGGAAGCTAACGGCTCGAGTATTCACAATATACAGTGAAGACTACGGATTGAGTGGAGTACGGGAGGTCGTACGGGGGATATGTGTAGCTTTGTGGCATTTTTAAAGTCCAAAAGCAGCGGCATATGCATGCAGTAGCTGCAGCACATAGTCGGCGCTCTCCTGTATGACGGTGCTGCCCAGACCCTGTGACCGCTGCAGCATATCGAAATCCAGCTCTGCCTCCAGGTCAAAACTCGTATGCTGCTGCTGCTGCCCTGGCTGTCCCACACCTAAATGCTGCGCCGTCGGCCCCGGCTGCTGCTCGTCGTTGCCCTTGTGACCGGGCAAAAGCTCGTCCTATTCGTGCAGTGTCCGTCGCGCCCGTTTGGCCGGCAAGCAGGCACCATCATTGTCACCCAACGAGGCCGAGCCGCAGCTCTTGCGTCCATTCTCGATGGGTGATGGCGAACCAGCCGCATTGGCCGCCGCCGCTGCCGCTAGCAGAGCGGGCGAACTGGAGGCGCTGCTGCCCTTGCCAGACAACTTGCCCTCGAAATTGGGCAGCCATTTGGCCAGTTGCTCCTCAAAGAAATTCTCCAAGTATTTGGCATTGGTGTACGTTTTCGTGTCCTCCTAGCGGGAAATGCGCGATCATTAGTTGTCATTCGGATAACGGACGGTACAGACGATAACACTCACCTGATAGAACAGATATGTGTTGGAGAATATCAAACGCACATCTGTCACAAAACCAGCAATATCCTTGTAGTGATTGGGACTGGAGGGATCCAAACGCGTGCGTATCACATCCAGGGACATGGGACTACACAATTAAAGCAAACAATTTCAATAAGTAAAATGCGGCCAAGCCAAAGATTTCGAGCAATACCTGGACACAATCTCGTAGTAGGAAGTGTTGGCCGGTGACTCCGGTTCACGGAAGTTGAGACTCTGCTCGTACTGGCAGTACAGTTCCAGGCAAATGCGCTGCAATATCCTCAGCTCCAGGCTGCTCAGCTCACCCGGATGGGACGACTTGTCGGTGGCGGTGGTGCCCTCGTTCTTGGTCAGCTCCTTGAGATTAACGCACAGCAGACACTGCCAGCTCTCGCTCTCGTCCGGCAGCGAACTGATCGCGGGTATGTGACAGTTCTGATGGAACACCTTGGGGCATTTGTCGCAGCACATGAGCTCGCCGCCATCCAGGCAAACGGCGCACCAATCCTCATTGGGGTCATCTTTTTGTTCGTTTTTATTATTAACTGATATTATTAGTTTTTTTTTTTTTGTAATTTTTTAAGGAGAGATGTGGAAGTGTGTGTAATGTGTTTGTGTGGGTGTTTTTGTTTGGTTTTGTTTTGTTTATTGTTTGATTCAATTGTTAGTAATTTATTGTTCGCGTTTCAATCATTGGTGTTCGCGTTTAGATTGGTGTTTCGAAAATCGAGTTTTATTTTTTGGTTTTTGTTTTTTTTTTTGGAAATAGAAATAAAGAGAGCAAAAGTTATATGAGAATTTTTTAGAATTAGAATTTTCATTTTGAAGCACTGAAAAACAACACAGAGAAAAACCCATATGCCAAGACAAGAACACCCATACACCATGAAAAGCAAAATAAATATAGCTAATTTAATTTAAATAAAAAGCATTCATAGGTTTTGACACATGATTCATCGTTATTTGTGGCAGTATTACCTTCTTGCGTATTGGACAGGTCCGTGGAGCTGTGCACCTGCGGCGAGGTGGTCTTTGTACGGCCCTCCGGCAGCACTTGCACCCCATTGGAGTCCAGCTTGGCAATAGTTGCTATCAGATCGTTTATGGAGTCATCGCGCACCTTGTCAATGGGCTCGGTAAAGTCCTTGGTGTTCTGCAAAACAAAACAATTAGCAAAGATTAGTCAGTGTATAGTTGTTTGGGAGACCCAACTGTCACACACCTCATGAGTGCTGGGACTGGGCGTCTTTGGATTTGTCGAGGTGACATTGGAGAGTATTGAAACGGCGGGGCCAAGCCCTAGTGCGGCGGCATTTAGTTGCGCGTTAACCAACGCACCATTGCCAAGGCCCGGCATACCCGGGCCGCCTAATCCCAAGCTGGGCGGTGTACTGTTTTTGAGCGTGTTGGGAGATTTCAAAGAGATTTTAAAATTTTCCGATGTCTGGCGGCCATTGGCAAACGGCAAAAGGGGACCCTGCTGTGAGCACACTGAAAAATAGATGCGAAATGAATGTGAAACTCTGCGGATGACTGGGTAGCACGTGGATGACTCACTGTTCGACTGCTGCGCGGATTGCGGTATGTGCCACTTGGCCAGGCTGTGCATGCCGCCGCCTAACTGCGGCGACGTTTGCGGTGGGCCGGTATTAAAGCCAGCCTGGCTCCCATGAAACCCCAACGACTGCAAAACGAATGGAAAAAAATGTCAGTGCCAGTCGTTACAGGTGACTCTTCCAGACATACATTCTGCATGGGATTTTGCATCATTTGTGGGCGCTGCAGTGATCCGGGCGACGGTATCTGCCCGCCTCCACCACCTGCCCCGGCCATGGCAGCTACGGCCGCCTGCTGGGCATGGCTCGCCATGCGCTGGTACTGCGACTGAAAGCGTGCTGCATTGCTGCTCATGAAGTTGTTGTCCCTGGGCCCGCCTCCTGGTCCACCGCCGCCACCCTGCGAGAAACCCTGCTGGCCGCCCATGAAATGCGGTCTCATCTGCGGTCCCCCCATCTGCTGATGGGCGGGCGAGGGGCCGCCCTGCGGTCCACCCGGATAGCTGGGCGGGCCATTGAATCCCATGTGCCCGGCATTGGGACTCTGGGCTGCCTGATTGTTCAGCAGGCCCCGCAGGCTGATGTCTGCAAAAGGAAAATAACGAAATAAGTCTCGATTTCTCTTGCTATCTGAATGTGAATGAGAAACACTTACCCATATTCTGCGGATGTGTGGAGGAGCTTACATGCGGCTGGCCGTGTCGTTGCATGCCCACTGGCGGCATGCCCCCAAAGCGAACTGCAACACAAAGAAATAACGAAAATATTTAAACAGCTGCCTCATGCTCTTCCAAGGATTAAAAAACAGGGATCGTATGGATTATAAACTTCTAATAAAAATTATGAAATAAAAAATAATAAAAATAATAATAATGACTAATTATTATTATTTTTTAAATCATAAATTCCATTTATATTTACTTTTTATAAAAAATTAAAAGTTTAAAATTAAAAATTTTTTTAAAATAATTTATTTTTAAAATTTGAAAAATTATTTTTATTTAAAAATAGATTATGAAAGTTCATCCTGCAGCAATGAAAGCTGTATTTGTATTTTCATACCCTGGGTGAATTTTTTCTAAATTGATTTTTATAATCTCATTCATTTTTGTTTCTCTGCTAAAAAATAAAAAATTAAAACATTTCCTACCCTTACCTGGTCCATCGCCCGGAAAGGATCGACTCATTGCAGAGAGATTGTTGAACTGCTGCTGGGCCGCGGCACTGCTGTACATGGGCGGACCATTCTGTGGCCCAAAGTTTACGGGCGGACCGTTGGGCGAGAGTCCTGCGTTCATGCCCGGTGGCAGGCCTGGACGCAATGGTGGCGCCATATTCGGGCTGGGCGGCTGTCGCGGCGGTGGTTGGGGCGTGCCATTTGGCGATGCTGTCGGCGGATACGGCTTGCCATCGACAATGATGATGCCCAGCTGTGAGATGACCTTCTGCAGATCGGACACCTGATTGAGCTGCACTTGGATGCGCACGGGTATCTCTGGATTGGGTATATCCGCCCGCTGGCACTTGAGCTTCTGCAGATGCCGCACCAGCGACTTTTTACTGGAGAGTATCGCAAAATCGCTGCCTTTGTCGAGGGCATTCTGCATGAACTCGATGCAGTGATCCGTGTTGTCAGAGAGCAGCTGGAGCGTCTCCTTTTTCTCCACGAGGACCTTCAGTTTGCTGTCGCAGACTTCGTTGAGGCGCATGATCAACTGCTTGCCGCGCGTATTGACCGTATTGGTGATCTTCACCGCCATGGCGGTGATCTCCTTTATAAGGTCCTTCTTCTTGTCGTGTATCAGCTGCTGCCGATCGTCAATCACCTTTGTGGCCGACGATAGCAGAAAACGCTTGTAGTTGATCTCAGAGACGAGCGTGGAGAGCGCCTGCCTTGACTCTGTGGCAATTTCGTGGGCAAACTTGTACTTGTGATCCCGATGATCGCTCAGCTGGCAGTCGCGACAGGTGAGCTTGTCGCAGGTCTCGCAGAAGAGTGAGAGCTTCTCCTGGGTGTGCAGCTGGCACATGTGCAGCTTATCAACGCCGGCCGTGCCGGCCAGCTGTTCGTTATTGGCCTCGTCCTTTGGCTTGATCGTGTGGTCCTTGGTGATCTTGAGGCGCTGATGTGCCTGCACACAACTGTCGCATATATACTCCGAGCAGTCCACGCACCACGACGTGGCCGCTGCTCCGTCCGAGCAGCTGCTGCACTGCACAATGGCTGCGGCGCTCTTCTGTCCGAGATCTGAGCCGCTGCCATCGCCGCTATCGCCGGCGGCACACTGTTCGATCAGGAACTGATTATCCACAATGAACTCGTTCTGTGAGGCATTATCGCACACCGGACAGTGTATCAGCGGCGGCAGGGAGCGGTCCAGTTCCGAGAACTTTGTGCTCACGCACTGGGAACAGGCGACATGGAGGCACTCCAGCAGCTTGGGTCGGTCATTGGAGCCCAGCAGCTGGGCACAGTAGACGCACTTGAACAGCGTGAACTTGGCCGAGGCCGATGAATTGGACTCCGACTGCAAGAAAAAGAAGATAATCATGTCGTTACTATATGTATGTACAATATGTATGTATTCGTACTGGATAAACACACCCCTTCGCCATGTTATCTCTTTAATGTTCTAAAGGTTAGGCCCCGCTCTCGATAAGCTATACTCAGGATCATGTCCACTTATCGCGCAATCGCACAACTCACAATTTCAGGTCATATAGTACAAGGACAGCACTTTCTCTTGAGTGGAGCGGTCCCTTATCTTATCGTATCTTATCTAATATTATTTAATCTAATCGCTTTCCATTCAGATAAGACAGCTAATATCAGAGTATTTATCAGGCTAATAAAATATACTTTCAAATAAAATGGTTTGCAGCTTATGCTTAAATTGATTGCATTTAAAGGCAATGTCTATAGGAATTTTATATGCAAATATTATCATAGTAGAAATGAATAAATTTGTGAATATTTACGGAATCATATAGTGTATGTTACACACATTTCCGCTTTAAGAAACAAGTTATCGAATATGGGGACACTCAGGACTCGTAGAGACCCATAAGAGACACATAGGGGTTTTTTTTTAAGAAAAAATTCCATAAGTAGATATGAAAATGTTATGACAAATCCACAACTAATCTTTTGAATGCTTTAGGGGCTTTTTTCTATGATATTTATTCCCGCCATTCCGACACAAAAGCGAAAAGTACAGAAACGAATGCCGAAAATGTGCACGACCGATAATGCAACAACAAAATACATGTAGGGCTACTCGGATCTACTTGGGATGCTCCCAATGTGTACTGTGTTATTTCCCCGTAGCTCTCCTTATTTTCACTTCCATTTTGTTTAATTATTATAATAAAAATCCCAGAATGACCCTTTTCAAGGCTCGCGATAAGTGAGTTCCGCCGGAAAGGCCTTGCTTCATTTGTAGATTGCAATATACTATATAAAATAAACTAATTTTGGGATTCCACTGACTTGTTTCATCATATACGTACAGCGGGCGGAAAACGGATATACATAGAAGTTCCAGGGCTCGACTACAATGAAGTCCGAGTCAAGATTTCCTATGAATTCTCCTAACGAATTTCCTCGAAAAAAAATTCTACTTTGATTAATTTCCATGAACCAAGTTTCCATTTAGATTAGATTAAAAAGGGTATAAAAAACATGGCAAGGCTTATCTTTGTCTTATCTGCACAAAATCACAAGCTTTATTACCGGAAATTACATTTAGTTAACCTTTGGGGAGGGAGATCATCTCACAGTCCCCTCTCGTGTACAGGCACTTCTGTATACACTCAGAGAAAAATTGCATAGTAGAAAGAAACACATATTAATCATATTAATGTCAGAATGTAAGTTAAATCACTTTCTTTTTACAATATGCCACTCTCAACTTAAATCTTTTTTACCAAAAATAGACATTTTTTCTCAGAGTGTAATTAATCTCAGTAGCTTCATCTCTCGGGAGATAAATAAATAATGCTTCAAGCTGAAGTTGGGGCTTGGTATCCGGCTTTTGGGGCAGAGAGTTCTGTCTCTCTCTCTGTCTCTCTCTGTGGATGCTGCCTGTTGTTGCCAGCGTCCCCCCATTTCTGTCGTCTCCGAATAGTGACTGTCCCAAAGCGAAGATTGATTAGTTTTATCTCGAGTTGGAGCACATAAATCCAATTGATTGATTATGTTTGGTGCTCGATAAAGACTGTTGCATTGGTATGCGAGTGTTTTACATGCAGCCATCGCTTCTGCTGTTGCTGGCGCTCTTCCTCTCGCTCTCCCTCCCTCTTCCCTCTTGTGTCTGTGCATCCAAACGGAAGCGCCACGGACATTGATGAATGCCCCGCGAGAGACGAAAGCTAGGGACAGAGCACCGACAGGCCACAGGACCTGGACCTGGACATTCGCTGGGACCACTGAAAACTGCAGTGAACCAGGGGGGATATGGGGAGGGGGATCCACAGCTCTTTAGTTGATCCGGCCGATCCATCTTCCGTTTAATGCTTCTGACATTCGAAAGAAAGTTTCATCTTAGTTTTCTCCAGAGGCCAACTGCCCCGTTCCCGCTCCCGCTGCCGCTCTCACTCTCTCTCTCTCTTTCTCTACTTTCGAAATGCCTCATAAATCATGCAGCAAACATCCATTTCGTACATACATACATATATACTGTCTATATAGGGAGCTTGCCTTATCTGTACATATATAAAAGCATACATATGTATGTATCTAGCTGACAATGCCTTGTAATGGTGGGACGGGGCCACGGGTGGGTGCACGGAAGGCTACGTCCCACTTGAAAGCCATTTATCATAATATACTTTACCCTGGCCTCCCACGGGGGTTCGGGTTTCCCCTTCCCTCACAAAAATGTTATGGCATTTCGCTGATGATGATGGCCGCCGCCAAACCGGGATCGTGTTCGGTTTCGCCTCGTTTTCAGTTCGGCTTGGATCGGTTCGCCTCGGCTAAGCTCGGCACGGTTCGGTTCGGCTTGGATTCGATCGTTTCGGTTCGGTTCAAGACTCCCTCTCTCGCGCGGACACTTGCCTCTCTCTCTCTCTTTCTGTGGAGCTCCGGCGGGGCCTTGGCCTGAGGCATGCCATTAATAAGTGTGGCGAAAAACCAGCTGCTACCCCCATGCTTTCAATCACTCTTTCGGAATGGAATGACTCGACGCAACGGAATGGATGGGATGCCGCCATGCCATGCCAAGCGATGGAAGCGGGTAGAAAACTCGTTTTCTCGGCCCGCACCTTTACAATACTTGTACATATGTATGTATGTACATATAATCGTTCATCTGTACATGTTTATGTATGTACACTGGAACATATGTACATATACATAGTAGTAAACGGATATGGAGGCATATTATGTACGCGTATGTGGCACAAACATGTGCTAAGAATTTTAAGCATTCTTTTGTGCAAGTAATTCAAATTAATAGATTTTTCAATCACTCGAGTCAGTCAAAAGGAAAATTTAGTCGTGCCAAGCCGCAAAAGCTTTTAAATCCCTTAAGCAACAATCAGGTCTCGGATCTCAGCTCTGGATATTCTGCATGTGCCACATAAGCTGATGAAATTGCCTTCACTTTAATTTCAACAGCATAACTTATACCATAATAGATTTTATCCGGCGGTTAATCTGACAATTAGTAACACTGTAAGAAGAAATGTTTTTGCTTATTTGTTTATATGTACATATATCCTAATCAACTAGTTTAAAATAATTCTTGGAAAGTCCCAGGACCTATAATTATATATTCTTTATTTTATTTAACTTAATAGATATAATTTTAAAGAAAATCTAATTAAAAACGATTCGTTTTGGCACTGAGCGAATAATTATAATGGCCGGAATGGGGAAAGCCAGTTCGCACGCCTGTCCGTATCCACCATTTTGCAGAGTGCTTTTATAGACAAATATAGCGAAAACCATCAAAATCGGTTAATTAAAATGAAGGAAACAAGTTCCCATGGCTCTCACTCTCTCTCTCTCTTCTTCTCTAGTCGTGATTACGCCAACAACAAAAATCGATGAAATTGATTACTTATCTTGAAAAACTAGTAGCAACAGAATAATAAAATCCTGTATTCAACAAATTAACTGAAAAGAGACAATTTCTGATTGTTTTATGTTTTTTTTTTGTTTGTCATTGACTGTGGCCTAAGCGAGGTCTCTTATTAGCATCTTATAGCTTCTATTATATTGAACGATATTTAAATTGAGGCCTACAGTCTATATATTATCTAAAATATCAAACGATCAAACAGCTTAGTAAATAAGTTTGAAATTCATCACATCAAAAAAAAAATCTACAAATTTAGTTCCAAAGGGTTCTAACGATGGAATAGTTTATGTTTAATTTTCCTAAACATTTTGTTGTCCATTACAATCTCCACATAAAGCAGACAAGCACAGAAACGCTCAAAAAAAATTCAGTCCAGCACAAAAATAGCTCTAAATCAATTTCAATTAGAAAACTTTGAAAGGATGTCCCCAGCAACAGCATCACAAGCAGCAGCAGTGGCAGCTAGTCTCGGAAGCAGTCGCCACAAAAGCTTCGGGTAGACAGGAAGCACTAGAAATGGATATTGATGGAATTTTGGAATGATGGCATGGAATGGCGGGAGACATGACAACGGCTGAATGAGTGCATTTTATGATTGATGTAATTTTGATGAAAGTAAATTCTGAAACAAAAAGTTGTGAAGCCAATCTCCCACTCTCCACTGCACTCCCTGTCTGTCGCATAAAAAAAAACCTTTAAAAGTTTTTACCTTCAATTTAATTTAAAATGTATTTATGGGGAGTTGAGTGTTTTGCGAAAAAGTTTTGGTCTCGTTAGTCCAATAAAAAAACTTTCGTTGCTCAAATTAAATAAAAGAAGTTGTATGACTGTGTGTCTAGAAATGTTTCACTCCTCTACACACACACACACCTGCAGCTCTCTGCGCCCCCTTTAGCGAGAGCGTACTCTCTTCCCACTTTCTCTTTTGGCACTGACAACTTTCAGACACATCTCACATTCGAAATCCATTTTCTGAAGCACCCCCAGACATAATTCCATTAATTTCGTATATGCGAATGATGTGTTACCCCAACCCCACCCAAAAACGGGTGCAGTCGCTAAGCCCTCTCAGGGATCGTTGCACATAGCTGTTCCCCTGCACCCCAGACAGCAGCCAATCAATGTATTTTGAATATCCAGTATTCAAAATCATCATAGCATAAGGCAATTAATTGGAATACTCTATGGACAATCTTATCTATGCGTTGGCAGAGTGCAGTGTGATTTAAATTCTAAAGTCTTCCGATGAGTCCAGACTTTTGGAGGATGGTCTGCTAAGCCCTTTGTGACGCACTTATGTAGAATTTTAATTAATAATAAACAAACTGAATCAAAATTGGAACCTTGAATGGCACAACTTCATTGGAAACGCATTCAGATTCGTTTCCCCTGTATCTGTTCGCTTATGGGAAATTTCTAGCAGAACAAGAGCTACCACATTT